TCTTCCACAAAATAGACAATAGATAGAACAAGAAAAAAAGAATAAAACAAAAGCGCAAAACAGTGTATAGTAGATTCTTTCCCTGTGTAACGTATTTTCTCTTCTCATCATAGTCCTCATGGGCTATGAAACGAAAAATATATCAGTCATAAAGGAACATGAAATCCTATTCATGACCGTGTGGAGACGCACTGGTGAGAAGCGCCTGCCTCAGAGTTTGTGTAACCCAAGAAATGTCAAGTTCGGCCTTTTCAGTGGATATCTTTAACGTCATCAATTCATGATTACAGTTAGAATAGTGAGTCTGAACTCCACAGAGATGTGTACGTACAAGAATGCATGCTTAGACGAATAAGTTTAAATTTTAACTTCATTAACAGTTTTTCTCATGTCTCAGTCCCTATGTTGCACGAATTAAATTCCTGACATCAGATGATAAAAATAAGAAAAGAAAAATAAAGAAAAATAATTCTTTCTTGGTAAGTATATCAGCTGTCGTTTGATGATCCTTAGAAATGCCCCCTTCTTTACATGGTTACCTATAGCTGTATTAGCACAAGTACAGAATTAGCCTCATGTTCCTTTTGTAATGTATTTAGTTTCATATGAAGTCCAGTCCCTAGGAGAGTGTGATATTATAAAGCAGAAATTCGGTCACAGTTTTCAGTTTTCAGTCTTGGCGGTCTTATCAAGACTCCATCAATCCATCTCACCTGAGAAAGAGAAAATAGCAACAGAAATAGAAGGAATTGAGAAAAAGACGGGAAAATGTTCATGATCTTTCTTATCAGGAAGCCGATAAAAGGGCCTGAATCCTTCTTCCATATCTCCTTCTCATTATCTCAGTTAAGTATCAACATAAACTATATGTTTTTTTTTTCTTGGCTCGCATATATTTATTCGTTATTTTACGGTATGTAGACCTGTTCAGTGGCATTTACCAAGCAAGTTATTTCCTAGACACAAGCAAACCAGGAATGGAAAGTCTCATTGAAAAGCATGGCAGGACACAGTATGAATATTTGCTTTTCTTATGTTTTTTTTACGTTCTTTGAGATCTGGACACATCGCAGGCCTATGCAATTTCCATACACATCCTACGAAAGGGAAAAGCACTTTTATTGTGTTATATTTCAATACAAAAATACTGTGGTTTACAAATTTTTACCTTAACATCCTGTCTGTTTTGAAAGGGAACATTGATTCCAACAGTATACACTCACGCAAACATCTGTAACGAGTTATTCAATACGAGCTAAGACGAATTGTGTGTGTGTATGTGTGTGTGTGTGTGTGTGTGTGTGTGTGTGTGTGTGTGTGTGTGTGTGTGTGTGTGTGTGTGTGTGTGTGTGTGTGTGTGTGTGTGTGTGTGTGTGTGTTTGTGTTTGTGTGTTTATGGGAGAGGGAGAGGGAGAGGGAAGAGGAAGAGGAAGAGGGAGAGGAAGAGAGAGAGAGAGAGAGAGAGAGAGAGAGAGAGAGAAAGAGAGAGAGAGAGAGAGAGAGAGAGAGAGAGAGAGAGAGAGAGAGAGAGAGAGAGAGAGAGAGAGAGAGAGAGAGAGAGAGAGAGAGAGAGAGAGAGTGAGAGAGAGAGAGAGATACATACATACATATATATGTATATATGTATATATATGGGAGAGGGGGAGAGAGAGATAGAAAGAGAGAGAGAGAGAAAGAGAAAGAGAGAGAGGGAGAGAGAGAGAGAGAGAGAGAGAGAGAGAGAGAGAGAGAGAGAGAGAGAGAGAGAGAGAGAGAGAGAGAGAGAGAGAGAGAGGCGGAAAAAGCGAGAAAGCAAGAGAGAGAGGGGGAGAAAGAGATTAAATGTGTGTGTGTGTGTGTGTGTGTGTGTGTGTGTGTGTGTGTGTGTGTGTGTGTGTGTGTGTGTGTGTGTGTGCGTGCGCGTGCGTGTGTGTGTGTGTGTGTGTGATTGTGTTTGTTGTACGCGCGTGCGTGAATACGCATGGATGAAGCCGTAGGATCGACCACAAATACTTTCAGAGAAGTCCCAGCTTCACGATAAACAGTACGCGAGTAACCACACGAAGACGGTTCCAGGAAAAGAGCTAAATGCTTCCAGATGCACCACTTGATTAGATTTAGACCTGAATTTTCTTCTCTGCTTTTTATTCAGCCGTGAAAGTGACCATAATTCTGTTGCTATTGCTCTCGTACCGCCGCATGTCTGTCATGAAACTGCTTAGACATCATCTTGTGAGACGTAGCCTGACCTCCCACCCCGCCTCTTGCTTGTATGAACAGCATAGAGCGTACACCCAGCGCGAGTATGCTAAAGTGCCTTGTCGTTGTTCAAGGACTGTCGTTGAAGTCACGCAGGACATTTCGGACGCAGCATCCTGTCTCAGTGAATAATGAAAGCACAGTTGTTCATTCTCGAAGAGTGTCTGAAATAATGCACGTGTTCACGGAGAATCGAATGAACTACACGGTGGCGTTGGATTGTGTTCTTTAGCTAGAAGATAACTGCTACTCTTTGAAATAG